AGCATTTTGTTAAACAAGTACAAGAAACAGATGTTTACAGGGTAAAGCCAGTGTCCCACAACACTCCATCAAGTGTTCTAACAAAGATCCTGAAGGAAGGAAATTAGTTTACTTCCTTGAATGAAGTTTCATTAGTTCACTAGGAACCAGAAAGTCCTCACTGGGGTGCACCTTAATCAATTTGGTATATTAATAATTGGATTTTTTTTCAGGAGCTTATACTAAAAGATTATGTTGATCTCAAGGCCATTCTGTCTTATAAGAGCTGAAGAAGTGTTCCCCTGATTGCAGAGAACACGGAATGGAAACTAAAGAAACGAATGAAATCTATTGCTGTACCGTAACCAAGAAGGAGAAGCATGTGATGTGGTTTCTTGCTACAAGTCCGAGAGTGCCCCGAGTGTCATGGCCCCACTGAGGGCCATCAAGTCCGAGAGTGCCCCGAGTGTCATGGCCCCACTGAGGGCCATCAAGTCCGAGAGTGCCCCGAGTGTCATGGCCCCACTGAGGGCCATCAAGACTCAATCCTTAAACTTGTTGCAGGATGGAGGTTAATGGTTTAAGGAAATGGTCACTGCAGCAAAGTGTTAACTGCATGCTAAGTCGTTGTGAAAAGCACCCTTTGATATTTTCCTCTGCCGGGTGTTGTGTCTTCGTTAGGGTTCTGTTGCTGCAATAAAACACCATGCCATGACCAAAAGCAGTTTGGGGAGGGAAGGGTGTCTTTCATCTTATAACTCAGGTTACTCTCCATCACTGAGGAAAAGCAGGGCAGGAACTAAAAGCAGGAACTCAATCATAAGCCATGGAGAAACTGACTTGTTTTCCATGGCATGCTCACTCTGTTTTATTATACAAATCAGGACTCCCTACCCAGAGGTGGCACTGCCCCAGAGGGCTATGGTCTTCTATGGGAGCCATTAAGCAAGAAAATACCTACAGACTTGCCTAAAGGGAATCTGATGAAAGTATTTTCTTAATTGAGGTTTCTCTTCCCAGATAACACTACTTTGTGTCAAGCTGACCAAAAAAAAAAAAAACCCAGGAAAATTGATCTCTTATGACCCTGATACACAAATACATTACTATGAAACCATAGTACTTCCCTTCTTTTGTTTATCCCCAAGATCTCGTGTTAATATCAACACCACAATATAAAACATAAATAAGAAGTCCCATGAATTTAAAGTTTTCAACCCTTTAAAAGTCCAAGTTCTCTTTAAAAACACAATGTCTCTTTAAAAGTCCAAAGTCTCTCAACTGTGGTTCCCATGAAATCAAAACAAGTTAAATATTTTCTCTCACTCCAAGAGGAAAAACCAGGGCACAGTTACATTCAAATCAAAGTGAAACTGAAGTCCAGGAGTGCTCATGACCTGGGACTCATGATCTTCTGGGCTCTAAAGGACTCTCTGTCTGTGGCGTCCACAGCACACATAGGGATTTCACAGGCTCAGGCTGGCTGCATTCTGCATCTGCTGTAGTCCTTGAAGGCCTATGGTACTGACATCTCCAAAATGCTGGGGTCCCTGCTGGAACTGGACTAACTTTCACCTATGTCCTCTCCTGGACGCTCACAGTGCCAAGTCTCAGCTGTTTCCCATAACTCCTTCATGTTTTCAAAACCATTACCACCTGCAAGATGCTTAAACACAACCAAATTTGGCTGCCAGTACAAGATACAGACCTGGCCACAGCTGGACCACAGCTGACACGGATGAACACTTCCCAGAAGGTATTGCCTCAGTGATGCTCAGTATGTGCTTCCCTGGTGCACAGCAGATCTCCTGGGACTAGAATTATAGATGGTTGTGAGCTGCCCTGTGGGTACCAGGGATCAAACTTAGGTTCCCCCCCCCTTTTTTTAAATAGTATCAAGTGCTCTTCTCTAGCTCCTAGATTATTAATTCAAAATATGGAATGGCCTTGATAGTGCCTTTAAAAGACTCTCAAACTTCCCTCCGAACCTCAAAAGCCAGAGTTTCATTATCCACATCGTTCTCAGCATTAACTTCTAAGTTCTCACAACAGCTCAGTAAGCTCTGAACACTCAATGTCTCTTCTAGTCCAAAGTCCCCAAATCCTTCCACGATCATTCATCAAACATGGTCAGGTCTGTCGCAGCAATATCCCATGAACCTTGTACCAATTTCTATCTTAGTTATTATTTCCATTACTAAGATAAAACACCATGACCAAAAAGAGGGAAGTCATATATTTATTTAGTGTATATATCTTGGGTCACCATCCATTGAGGGAAGTCAAGGGAAGAACTGAATCAGAAGTCATGGAGGAATGCTGCTTACTGGCTTGCTTTCTGTGACTTGTTCAGATTGTTTTATCATACAACCTAGGACATTCTGCCAAGAGATGGCACTGCCCCTAGCATGCTGGTCCCTCCCACACGGAATCATTGATCAAGAAAATACCCTACAGAGTTGCCTACAGGCAATCTAACCAAAACATGCTGGATAGTTTGGTTTCTAGACTGACAAGTCCCATCAGGTCATAGTAGAAATTGCCTCAGAGACCCAGTATAGCGGTTTGAATGAGAATGTCCCCCACAGGCTCAAATATTGAATAATTGGTTCTCGGTTGGTAACAGTTCGGGTAGGTTTGGAAGGTGTGACTGTCACGGGGAGAGCAGTGGACTTGGAGGTTTAAAACCTGAACTATTTCCTCTTCACGGGGTTGGAGATGTGAACTCAGCTGCCCTGGTGCCACACTTCCGCACCAGGAATGGTAGTCATGGTGTTTTATTGAAGCCGTAGAAAAGTAGCTAAGATACTGAGAAACTAACCAAGATTGAGAGACCTGTAGAGGCTGAATTGGGATTGTCTCTCATTGAACCGTCTCCACTACTCCCAAGAAAGCGCATAAGGTAAAAACCTTAGGAAACTGTGATCGATATTGTTGCCACTAATGAAGAACTGTGAGGGTGGTGGCAATTGCAACTTGGGTCTCACAATTTCTGGAGACCTGCGAGTTGCCAGTCAAGCAGGAACTATAAACCAAGCAGTTGCTCCTGGAGGTTCCTCAGGCTGTCATCTTGGCAACTGCAACTATGTCCAGAGATGACTTCATGTCAGCTGTGGATGCTCCAAAGAGACTTTGTTTCAGTCAGAGAAACCACTGCAATTAACCACAGCCTCTGCTGTAGCATTGGCTGGGGAAACTCTGCTTTGACATGACACCTTGAAGTGGCCCTTAGATGACCCTACTCAGTTACTCCAGACCTCATGACAGTATACAGGAGATGTCTCTACTGCAAGCTGGCCCTGTGCTGTCAAACTCCAGGCATTTGTTTTGTTTTCAAGACAGGGTTTCTCTGTAGCTTTGGAGCCTGTCCTGGAACTAGCTCTTGTAGACCAGGTTGGCTTCAAACTCAAAGATCCGCCTGTCTCTGCCTCCAGAGCCCTGGGATTAAAGGAGTGCACCACCACCGCCGCCCGGCACTCCAAGTGGTTTTAAGGTCTACTTGTAGTCTTTTATCATGAGTAGGGTGGGCTGAGTTGGTTGCATGAACAGATGGGTCCAGAGCTGCTAGCTCAGGGCACAGCACCCTGCAGAAGATAGAGGGCTGTCATAGAGACCAGGGAGAGCTCAGACTGTGAAGGGCGGAAGTGTTGGGAAAGTATGATATAGAGAAGAACAGAAAGCGCATAAGGTAAAAAAAAAAATACAGAATGCTGAGACTGGAAAAACTGCAAGCTGCTGCTGGAGTCCCGAAAGTCACTGAGTTGCTATCTCTGGCTGCTGAGGAAGCATCCATGAGCTGAAAACCCGGACACCATGAAGCTAACACACATGCAGCTGGGTGTGTTGACTCAACAGCTATTAAAGCGAAAGTAACCTTGAGATCCAAGGGTTCTCAACTGGTGGCTACCGACGCAAAGGGACACATTTTGCCTATTCCAGCTAGCCCGAAGGTGGCCCACACCACAAGGGTGGCCACCCTAAACTCTCCCCCAATAAAGTGACGGGCATCATTGCCTGGGACTACTCTGTTAATGGACCCTCAGCCCTCGCTCGGGTGTCCAAGCTGTGCTGTCCTTCAGTACTGGTATTTCCAGGAAAATTCAAGACCAGACCAGTATCCTCACAGCCTCCTACTATTAGACGAGATACAGGTTGTGGTCTAGCCAGTATTCTCCGTGGCCTGTCTGTGAAAGACCCCAGCTTAGCTGCTGTAATGCCATTTTGCAAGGCTTTCACACAAACAAGTATAAATTCAAGGTAAAGTCGGTACTCCTTGGCTGCCAAACAGGATATCTATGGTCAGACATCAGGCCTAGGAGGGGAACGAACAGTTTTGGGAAAAACTACATGTGCCCTAGATAGAGCCAAGTCAGCTATTATCATATCTTCATGTCCTCGAGGAGCTTGTCCCCAAGTGAACCCATCGCCTCATCTAAACTGACCAATGGAATCCCTGTAACCATGCATGCTTCTGCCGCCCATTTCCATATAAAAGACCCCCTGCCCAGCCTGAGGGAGTGCAAGTCTTCCAAATAGACTCTGGCACCCGCAGGTACCTGTGTACTCTCAATAAAAAAAAAAACCTCTTGCCATTGCAGCCAGTGGTCTCGACTGTTCCTTGGGTTCAGGGGTCTCCTCCTGAGGGAAGGACCACTCTGAGGGTCTTTCAGTCTGCATGCACTGCGGGAGCAGGACAAGGGTGCCGATGCTGGCAACCACTGGATCCTTAAGATGCAGTCTTTGGGACAAACCCACCCAGCCCGCCGACGGGTTACCCAGGGGTGGGCGGGCCTCCGTGGCTAGTCCCCGGTTGCTGGGTAACGGGTTGACGCTTCCCTCTTCCCTGGGCACCACCCACCTCGCAGCCCTCTCCGGCGCCTGCGTACTACATCCCTTTCGTTCCCACCCCCACACACACTCCGGTTACGTAAGCTCAAGCTTCACCTCGTCCAGCAAGGCACATCTGCGGGCGGAAGTGCATATTGCGGAAGCGGAAGTGAGCATGCAGGAGACTGCGGATCTGAAATCTCGTTGACGCATCTGCGGCTACTGCAGTGATCCTCTAGGTAGGCCGTGCTGGGGCAATCGGCCCTCGGTCCCGGCTGTCGCACCTCCCCAGCCCGGGGCTCCTCCCAGCATCCAGTCCCCGCCCCTCCGCGCCCTTCGCCCTGACTCCTCGGCCCTGTTTGCTCCTGCACCCCCGGCTGGTGCGGTCTGGGAGGAGGGGCCAGGCAGCCGCCCTCCTGCAGGTGGAGCGGGGAGGAGGCTCTTCCCGAACCCAGCCGCTGATCGCTAAGGACCTGCGAGGTAGAGTCTCCTGCTCGGGGAAGGAGGAGCTGATACCTGCAAACCCGCGGTAGGGGAGCTGTGGGCGCGAGGTGGTGGCGAGGCGAAGGGGCTGGGCCTCAGCTGTGTTGCGTTCCTTCCTCTAGGGAGGGGGTCATCCTTTTGGTTTAGGCTTTTTCTAGATAAGCTCTCAGACCTGTTACCCACGACCACGTCCTTCAAGAAGCCCCTCAGTGTTTTCCCCGTCTCCCATCCATTAGTGGGTATTCCCTGACCTTGGCTGACGTCAGTATAGCGTGGGAGGCCTGGCTACCCTTTCCTTAGCCGTTTTTGAAAGGCACCACCAACAGACGCGTATTTCTCTTGCCATCCTCCCAGTTTAAAAGAAAAATAAAATCTGTTCAGCCAATCTTCCAAACGTTGGTATCTGTGAACATCTTTGGCCCGAGAAATCTTATAAATAGATAACATTTGAGGTCATTTGTTTTCAGTTTTCAGAGAGTCTGTCTATCTCCAAACTGGGATCTGGGAATATTTATAGACCTGATAATGAAAAGTTCACGAATTCAGGATTTGGGTGGGTCTCTTTGCTTACATGGCAGCTTTCAAGGCACTGGGAATGCAATAACTCTGTTCATAATTGGCATTCTTAAAAAAAAAGAAGTATCTTTAAACTGTATACCGTAGGCCGCTTACAACTTGGAATTTGCCTCTTCTTGCTGCTTTGCAAACATTCTTGTCCTTTTCTTTCCCTCCTCATTTCCTCTGCGTTCGAAGCAGTGCTTGATTTTTTTGAAGGTAGGGGTTGGTCATTGGGTAGAACATTGTAACTTCTGTATTGCAGGTATCAGGTTAATTTAATTTCTCAGTTGACCCCACCTTGATAAGAAGAATGTATTCCACATAATGCTATCAGCTGTTGTTATATAACTTAATGCCAAGTATAAATATTTTTTATTTTATTATCAGACATTATTTCTCTACTTTTCTCTTTTTGGCTGTTATGGGAATCTGTGAACTGTGAGTGGGTTCTTCTGCTTACTTTATACACCTGCCCTTGGTTTGATTCATTTATTTTTTCAGATAGGCATTGGTCCTAACATATGGGAGACGTTATGGAGTGTGTTGTGATGTGACAGACAGTGATGTCATTGTCTCAAAAGGCCCACCCTATTGGTAGTGATTCTCAGAGTGTCTCAGACTGTATTTTGAGCCATGGCTAGTAAATAGGAGTGGGCTCTCCTCGCCTCCACATTTTTTTACCGCTTATGTACCTGAGAACACTTTCCCAGTATATATCTGTAAAATTTCCCCCGTTTATTTCTACGCTTGTTTTTTTTTTTTTTCTCCAGTCATCCTGTAGTAACTTCTTTAGGAAACTAAGATCCTCCTCGCATGCTTTTAACAATAAGGAAAAACAACAATAATGTAAGCAATATCCATAGCTTTCAGTCTTTTTTTCCTGATGCTTTATACTAAAATGTACTATCTGTGTGTTGTGTGTGAGACACTTTCTGAAGAAGTGTAAACAAATGCCTGTCCACCCCAGGTAGGCCGCCGACAACAGATCAAAAAACAGATTCCAGCTAAGTCTAGCGTAAGGAACTATACTTACTGAGGTTCCTTACAGAACATGGGTGACCAAAGGCAGCTCTGTAACCAAAAGCCCAGTCCAGCACGAGTAAAGACTCAGGAAAACTGCATCCGTGAAACTCGCTTCACAACTTGTAGGCACCTGGGCTGTTTGGAAAGTGTCTTCCCCTGAGCAGTTACTGCTTTTGTAACTTTGGGACAGGTCCTTGTGGATGTTGTAAGACTGGGGAGCTTACTGAGTCTTTCCTCTTCCTTTCAGGAAGGAATTGGGTTCTACGAATATTTAGCAGTTAACAAACCTTTAAATGTCAAAAGATGTATGCTAATGCCATAGGTCCCCATTCCTTTTTCTAAGTGTGTGCGTCTGTGTTGATGTGTGTATGTGTATGTATGTGTGTGTTGTGTATGTATGTGTGTATACGTATATATCTGTGTGTGTGGATGTGTGTATGTATGTGTGTATATGCATATATCTGTGTATGTGTGCGTATGTTTGTGTATGTGTGTTGATGTGTATATGTGTATGTATGTTTGTATGTCTGTATGTGTATGTATGTGTATATATCTATGTATGTGTGTATATGTATATATCTGTGTATGTGTGTATATGTTTGTATGTGTGTGTATGTGTGTATGTATGTGTATATATGTATGTATCTCTATGTGTGTGTATGTGTGTATATGTATGTATATATGTGTATGTATATGTGTGTATGTATGTGTGTGTGTGTGTGTGTGTGTGTGTGCGTGTGTTAGATGTCGCTTTCCCCAGGTAGTCTGTGACACACAGTGTGAGAAATGCCTGGTGGGAAAGCTAGGAAGGACTGAAGTGGTGCCTGCCCTGTTAAACAGCAGGCTTTCCATCATAGGCTAAGGAAGGAGCAGAAACATTGACTAGAACCAAAGCAGTGTACTGGGCCTGGCATCCTGGAAAATAAGGATAATATTTCAAGGAACTCATTGTTGTCTTCGCTGCTTTAGTAGAAAACACTCGAAACAAACAAAGAACAACAAAACTCCCTCTTACTGGCAGTGGATGTCCAGAAAAGGATGGAAGATTCATGTTGTTCCTCTCACTCTGTCTTGACGTGTGTTGTTTTCTGTGTTATGAGTGATGCTGAAGGCTTCTATAGATTCTGGCCATGGACCATGTGGCTGTTACTTGTGTCTTAATGGATGAGTCTCTTGTGTCCTAGCGCCCAGTGAAGAGCAGGTGAGAAGGGGCATTTTCTCACTACACAGAGATGTGGTCTCTGAATGGGTAAGATTTAGATCTGTCTATTCATCCCCAGTAAACTGTGAGAGGCCTTCTTCATCCAGAGCTAGGGGCAGACCAATGGTCTAGGGTTTGTGAAATCTGTGTGCTGCTTATCTGTTTCTTCTGACTGTTGTCTGCATATATTTCTTTCACAAAACCTTATCTTCTGCATACTGTGCTGGATGATATTAAAGCAAAAACCACCCTTTTCCAGAAATGAACGTAAGTTGTCAGGGGTTGAGATGTAATTCAGTGGCAGGACGTTTACCTCCGTGGGTGGACCTGGAACTACACTAACACGGCCACAACAGCAGAGAGTACAACCTTCCTGAATGTGGGGCCAGACCCAGGGGTCGAAGAGATACCCTGATAGTGGAGATAATCGTTGTCACCGGGTTCAGTAGCCCTACTGCTGTAGCTCAGATGCTGTCATTCCAGTGTGAGGATAAATCCTTGGTGTGTGTGTGTGTGTGTGTGCGCGCGCGTGCGCATGTACATGTATGCCCAACTTTGCCTGGCTGGTAAGTGCACTAAGATGAGATCGTCTCTCTGTCCTAGGTCTTCAAGATGCATTATTCTGTGTTGCTTTTTGTATATTAAGGATTCGTTGTTGTTAATATTTTATCAAAGGACTTAGTGGCTTGATGCCATGTTTAAACAAAAAAATAGGAAAAATATACCATTAAGATGCAAGATTTCTTGTGGAATTTTTTCTACTATTGATGGATTTGTCTGTCTGAAGAACGTCTTTCATTTATATAAGGACGTGTGTAAATACATCTTACTCTGGTGGTACTTTCTTACATTTTGAGTTCTGACCATTAAACTACATTGCATCTATATTTCATTTCTTTCATATTCATTATCTCAAATGATGCAACTATTTAACACCATACATTTTTATGCAGCTTCTTTTGAACGCCGTTATCGAGGGTACTTGACAGGTTTGCCTGCATAGTTTGAAATGTTTTGACATCTGTGTTAAATGTGTGTACCAGCATAGAGATAGTATCCGTACCTGAAATTTCCAAAGTATATCCTCAGGCATGCCTCCTTCTCGGCTGCCTCCGTCAGACACATTGTGAGATCACAGACCCACCACATGCCTGGTCAACTAGAAGGGAGCTCAGCCCCTTAAGCCAATCCTTCAGAAAACCCTGAGTAATAATTTTACTTTTACTTAGTGCCTTTCTGTCTTATGACTCCTGGCAAGTAGGCTAGGTCACATATGGAACTGACCCCCCAAAACAAACAAACAACAAAACCAGAAACAACATTACAATTAGAAACTCCCTTTGTTTCTTTTAGAAGATTAAATATTGTCTGTGTCTGCTTTGATTACTGTCACATGTCTAGAAATAATGCCACAGTTACTAATTATGGATTTCTTTTTCCCTTTTTTTTTCAGATTCATAAACCAATTATGGGGGTGAGAGGTTTGCAGGGTTTTGTGGGAAGTACCTGCCCACATATATGTACGGTAGTAAATATCCAAGAGCTGGCAGAGAACCACCGAACCAAGTACCCTGGGTGTACCCCTACCATCGTGGTGGATGCCATGTGCTGCCTCCGATACTGGTACACACCGGAGTCTTGGATCTGTGGTGGCCAGTGGCGAGAATACTTCTCTGCTTTGAGAGATTTTGTCGCAGCCTTCACGTCTGCCGGCATCAAGTTGATATTCTTCTTCGATGGCATGGTGGAGCCGGGTAAGAGAGATGAATGGGTAAAGAGAAGACTTAAGAACAACAGGGAGATATCCAAGATTTTCCACTATATCAAGTCAAAGCGAGAGCAGCCAGGCAGAAACATGTTCTTCATTCCCTCCGGGCTGGCCATATTTACACGGTTCGCTCTGAAGTCACTGGGCCAGGAAACTTTCTGTTCATTACAGGAGGCGGACTATGAGGTGGCTTCTTATGGTCTCCAGCACAACTGTCTTGGGATCCTGGGGGAAGACACCGATTACTTAATTTATGACACTTGTCCCTACTTTTCAATCGGCGATCTCTGCCTGGAGACTCTGGAAACCATCATGCTGTGCCGTGAGAAACTCTGTGAGAGTCTCGGCCTCCAAGTGGCGGACCTCCCTCTGCTAGCCTGTCTGCTCGGCAACGACATCACCCCGGAGGGCATGTTCGAAAGCTTTCGATACAAGTGCCTGTCCTCCTATGCTTCTGTGAAAGAGAATGCTGGCAAAAAGGGAAATATTATCTTAGCCGTCTCAGACTATATCTCTAGAGTTCTTCGCTTGTATCAGGGTGAGAAAAAGATAGAAGACATTTTACCCTTGGGGCCAAACAAAGCTCTTTTTTATAAAGGGGTAGCAGCATATCTCTTGCCAGGGCAAACATCTCCATGGTTAGTTCAAAAATCCAAAGGCATAATAACAGAGAAGCAAGTGGTGAACCCTGAATCTAAGCAAGAAGTTCCTATGTGTTTAGATCCTGAATCCAAACAAGAAGTTCCCGCGCGTACTAATCCTGAGTCCATGCAAGAAGTTCCCATGTGTACAGATCCCGAATCCAACCAAGAAGCTTCCATGTGCACAGAACCTGAATCCAAACAAGAAGCTTCCATGTGTACAGATCCCGAATCCAACCAAGAAGCTTCCATGTGCACAGATCCTGAATCCAAACAAGAAGTTTCCATATATACATACCCAGAGGTCAAGCAAAAATTACCTTCAGAAACAGGGGCTGAATATAATTCAGAAGTGCTTGTGTGTACACCCCCTGAAGTTAAACAAGAAGATGCCATGGATATGGAGCCTGAAATAAAACAAGTAACCATGGATTCTGACTCTGAAATCTTAAAGGTACGTGGACAGGCTTCCCCCACCTTCAGCTGCAGTGTCCTATTTGAAAGTTTACCTACCAATGGGTTTGCCCATGAGAGTTTATTGATTATCTGCAGAGGACTGTAGGAAGATCCAGACGAGAAACCTTGAGTCTAGTTAGGAGGATGTCACTATATACACGAAGTCATATTGTCTCTTAGATCTGCTGGGAAAGAGCTGTTGGAATTCTAAGGAGGGATGCTGTGGGTTAAGGTATAAAGAGGTTTCCCAGTGGAGTCAGGCCTTCAGGAGAACGACATTTGCTTTGAATAGATCAAATGTGGGGTTTTGAGAACCCTACAGATGTAGTGATTAAGGAAGTTTCACTTTGAGTCATACTGGTAAACTATCCAGGCAAGAGCCTAGGGCTTGGGGGGAGGGAAACTTGGAAAAGGTAGAGTGTGATCATACAGTAAAAGTAGTTAATGCCAGGAGTCTGGGCTGATTCCAGGTTAACATTCTGTAGGCTTTGAAGAGTTCTCTTTGGTGGACAGTCACTATTCAATCTATGCAAGGTCCGCGCTAGGCACAGGGTTTATCTTTGCTCGGTTGACTTTTAAAACAGCCCTGTAAAATAGGTACTTTTCTAGTCATCCCCTCCACCATCATGGCTTCCCTCTTCCTAAGCTTGTGCTCACCCTCGAGCGACATCTCCCGTCCTGTTACTCGGTTGTACTAATAAGGTGGATGTCCACAAGAATGTCCAAAGATTGCACGCTGAGAACCAAGGATGATTTTATCCACAGCTTCGAGTACTACATTGTACTACCACCATCAAGCTCCAGATCTAGGAATTCTGTCTCACTTTGAGACAGGGTCCCACTGAATAGCCCTGGCTGTCCTGGAACTAACTGTGTAGACCAGGCTGGCTTTGAACTCACAGAAATCCACCTGCCTCTGTCTTCCAGGCTCTAGGATTAAAGTCACACACCACCATGTTTGGCTTTCTCACTTTTCATAACCAGTCTTTCTAGGTCTTGTTAAATCTGTTAAATGAGTTTTCAGTGTGTGCAGTATCCACTTCTTCCAGCTTCCTTTTCCTAGTTCCAGCTATCGCTTGTGGAAATTGCTATCTTAATTGTCAAGAAATCCCCCTGAGCAGACTTTTGCCCTTTGTGGTTCATTTGTCATGCTGTGTGAAGAAATAAAGCCCCTTATCTTGTGTTTTCTTTAATTCTTTATTATCTTGTAACAAAAAACTTGTAGCCAAGAAATAGTGGTGTCTTGCTTCTGCCTGTCCCACCTTGTGCCGCACTGGTTCTCCTCCTTCTTTGTTACCTGGTCATCACATTGTCTCCCGTGGCCAGCTACCACAAACCTCCCTCCCAGTTAATGCTTACCAATCTCTCTTGTTACAGCTTCTGTTAAAGACCCGCTGGTCTGTGTGCTTCAGAATCTGTGGTCATTGTCTTTCTTGTGTACTGGTAGTCCTGAAGCAGGTTACACCTCACATGCTGTCTTTTAATAGCTTTTCTTTAAATATTGGTCAGGTAAATAACTTTCTTCATTCCTGCTACAAGTCTGTCTCCTCCTTTTAAAAAAACCTTTTCTGTTGCAGGGCTTGTGGTAGGTGAACTAACAGCAAGTTACAATAATTCCAGCAAACTGTAGCCTCTCACATCAGTTAAGAGAATCATAGGACCAATAAATGTGGAGACTTTAAGAAAACAAGATGCTTGCTTGCACTTGAAAGTATTGCTAGTGCTTCCTAGAAAGGGTGGAGGGGGACCTTCAGCTAAGTGCGGGCCATCTGGAGAGGAGTAATTGGATGTGGTGTGGCAGGAAGGTTGGCCCTGGTCAGCACTGGGGAAGGTAAGTCTGACCTTGCTTAACCTCACTTGGGTTTATTATGAAGATTGGATGTAAAATGCTACTTCTAATGCATATAGCTGTAAAGATTCTCCTCAGATTTCTCGGTCCATAAGGGTTCTTGTTTGTTGAAAGCAGTGCTCACATTCACTCGGGTCTGTGGAGATGGAGGCTCTTGGATCCCTTCTGACCTGAGGGCAGAGGTGCCCAAGGCCCATGACATCATGAGGCCAGGATGGAGCCACTGGATCTGACCTCAAGCTCAGGTTCACATCCATCTTTGCTGCACAGTTGGGAGATGAACTGTAGTCAGGAGGTCCAGGAGCACAGAAGTGAATAGTACCCCATTAGCTGCTCCTCCTGGTCTCATGTGTGCCATTTGAGGTGTCCCGGAGGGAGGTCACAGTGGCTTGGTTACAGATTCTGCAGCCACTCAGCTCTCTTCTGTCTAGTTTGTCCCTTCTCAGCCTCTGTCTTTCATTGCCGCTGTCTGTGTCCTGTATGTGTTCTCTGTATCTCAGGATCAGTTTGTGAGGGCCCTTCTGCCTCCCTCCAAGCTCCCACACAAGGAACCTCATTCATTAGGTAAACACTTAGTGCTTGGTTTCGGTACCTGGTGAAGTAGTATTGTACACTTTTACATGATATGTGATGGGATTGGATGTTTGCTTTTGAAACCCTGGTTATATACTCTAAAGAATGAATTTGAACTCACTACTGCAAAATCTCAGGTAAGAAACCCTTGGGCGAATGGGCTAGAATCCGGAATGTCGGCTGGAGAAGCAGCTCCATCATGCTTTTGATTTGGGGGTTTCTCACCCTGGTTTAAGAACTAATGTTGAAATACCCTGCCATTAGGCAGTTAGCAGCAGCTCTGCGATCCAAAGGTCTGATATCAGATGAGGTGTAGCTCAGCAGTAGAGCAGCATACACTTAGTAAGGCCTTAGATCTAAACTCTGACCAAGAAAAATACATAAAGATCTGATGTCGAGATTTGAATTTATGTTTTCAGTGCAAAGAAAAAATATGAAAAAGAACTTGGGTTCAAAAGTGATCATGAGGGGCTGGAGAAATGGCTCAGTGGTTAAGAGCACTGCCTGCTCTTCCAAAGGTCCTGAGTTCAATTCCCAGCAACCACATGGTGGCTCACAACCATCTGCAATGAGATCTGGTGCCCTCTTCTGGCCTGAAGGCATACCTTCAGAGAGAATACTGAGAATACTGTACACATAATAAATAAATAAAATCTTTAAAAAAAAAAAAGACAAAAGTGATCATGACTTATTTCTGTTAGAATTCTCAATCTTTCTGCCTGAGCCTGCCAAGTACTAGGCTTGCAGGCATGTGCTGCTGTGATTTGCACCTGTCTACAAAGTGAAAGTAATAGTAAATGTGTCTACATAGCCGTGGGAGTCATCCTCGTAAGAGAGGTGAAGGGCCACGTGCAGGAAGGTGATGAACTGAATTCCACTGTCAAGCAGTATAGTGTAGCCCCTTTGACATGTGCACACAGTGAGACATGGACCTGAAGTTCCATTCCCAGTAGGAAAGAGGCAATTAGAAGCCTTCAGTAGAAGAATATGTAGGATGAAGGCTTAAATACTCCACCGAGAGACAGAGAATAGGTGAACGTGTTTCCCTTCCAAGAGGGGAAAGTGACCAAGAATGTGAATCCTTTAAAGGTCAAGAAATAGGACATGGTCTCTGCCGAGCCCGCCAGACTGTGATAGCCAGTTCTGATCCCAGTCTCGCAGATGGCCCTGCTTAATCATGGGGGATCATAAAATAAACAGACATGAAGGCACAAGAGAGATTTGTGGAGAGTGGAGTTTGGGCAGGGGTGGTAGGAGGTAGGAAGTGAAACCATGTAAGCTGCATATGTCGAGGTATAAAACTTGTATTAAAGATCTTTGTTTGTTTTGAATAGGGCTTGGGCTGTGCATCTTTGGTGATTAGGGACAGTTGCTACAGCAAAGGTGTAGGTAGGATCTGCAAAGGGACAATAGGGAAGAGGGGTCAAAAAACCTCACAGGCAAAGGCAAATGATCTACCAATGTGGTAGATCTTGTGTTATCTTTAATGATGGACTTAATTATGTTGCCTTGTAGTGAAGTCTTGCAAACCTGTCTAACAGGCATCTAGAATTCAGTTTGCATGATTTAACCACATGTTGCTAAATAAAACTTTGGTGGAAAGGCTCGATGTAGAACAGTGGCAGGTGGCAGGCATGGCCACAACTACAGGTGCACGCCTCTGTCAGAAGTCTAGAAATCAGATTGAACACTGTGTACTTTTCATTGTACTGGATAACTACAGTACATAGCAGGCAAGGCAGAAACAGAGCATGCAGGTGGTATTAGTATGACTGATTTAAGAATCCTAAGTACATAACTGGAAACATGACACCTTCAGGAGGGGGTGTTATATCTCAAAGTATACACAGTTGCCAAAATTAGCAATTTATTGGAAAAATATGTAATTCATTATTATTTCCTAGGCAAATTTGTAAAAAAAAAATAAATTCCTTTGAATTAAAGGCTGGGGATGTTGGCACATGCATTTAATCCCATGACCTATGTAAATTTGAGGCCAACATGGTCTACAGAGTAAATTCCAGCACAGCCAGGGCTATGTAGAGAGACCCTGTCTCAATAACAAAAACAAATAAACAAAAAAGTCAGCTGTTAATGCTCTGAATTACTGAGCCATCTCTCCACCTCCCGAGCTTCTCATTTTCAAAGAAGAACACACCCTTTGGTTGTCCAGTGCCAAACTGTCTCCCAGAAAACATACATATAAGAACATTTTGTGAACTCAACAGGCTCTATTTAGGAATATATATGTATATACGAATACATATAGGCATACAATAGAAGTTAATGAAAAAAAGAGGCCTAAAATTGAAGACAAGTGGGGAGGGGTATATGGAGGTTTTGGAGGGAGGGAAGAGAAAAGAGAAACTTTGTAATTAAATTACAGTCACAAACAAAAACAACTAAAATCTGGTAGTAGGATTGCCTTGGTTTAAAGAAATATAGCAGTAAAATAAGCATTATGTCAAGTGTCTAGGAAAAAGAGCAGGTAGTTGAATAGCCCAGAGTAAACATTTGGTGTTTACTGACACTGTAAGCAGGCAGCCTGGTTAAGCACAGTCTGTGTACCTGCTCATTTAAACTGCACAGTGATCCAGTGGCTTTTTAAATAAAACTTGTGTTATGAATAAATCAGTAAGTAGGGTGATTCAGACTCAGGTCTCAACGGTGAATCTATATAACTGGTTCTAGTTAGGTGCATATAACTTAGATCTGAAAATTGATAGCCCAAGTTATAATAAAACATTTTAAATGTTTTTTTGGTAGACACTTTGGATTTAAAATTTTGAATAATATTGTCGACAGAGCCTAGACTTTATCCCCACAATAAAGAGATTTGTTCTCTATAGGGAAAAAAGTCTACATGTAGGTGATTATAGACCTTTGATCTAAACTGCATATTTAATGAGAAAATAGAGTTTAAATCACATCTTATGGCCTGCCATGTAATGTGCAAAGGACAAATTCAATTATTGAAGCCAGGATCAATGGAACATAAGAAAAAATGGAGAGAGGGAGAAAAGTTGAACAAACAAATGAATACATACAGCTTCTAACACCAAGGTGTTTTATCTGAGAAGTAAGAGTTGAGTCCCATGAGCAAAGGGTGGTTAGTTGTAGGTGGGAAGGAGGAATGGGTTTGTAGAGAAGGTAGGTCGTGTTGAGGTAAGCTCAGGAGGGTTTGGAAGTGGGAGGTTAGGAAACCGTGCCCAGAAGGACGAGGGATTTGTGCTTCTGGAGCACAAGGTGGAAGAGAAGGGCTACTGAGACAGCGGTGTCCCCTGAGACGAGTATTGCAGTTCCCATGAGAGCAAAGTGGTGTACACAGAGATAAAGGACCAGGCGTGTCATGGGGAAGGTTGTGGCCATTACACAGGGAAGCAGAAGACAACATGGTGGCCATCTGAATGAGAAGCTGGTAAGAGGAGAAACTGTGCTCATCCTCACAACCCTAACAGAAAAGTGAGCATGTTTATGGGGACACCTCAAGTAGACATAATAATAATAATACAGTAAGTGTAAGATTGGTAGATTGGAGGCCACAGGAGAAGGGTAACAAATAAACTTTTGGATTTGTTAGTACAAAAGAGAGAAAACATAAATACCCCTGGATGTCATGTGTTTGAACTACAATTCCTCACTTGAATACCTTAGATAAACTGATAACTGGTATGGACTGTTTCTGTTTGAAGGTTTGTTTGTTTGTTTAATCTTGAGCAGGTTGCCAGGATGCACCACGTCCACTCTGAGAGCTACCTCGTGTACAACATTATGAGCACTGGGGAAATAGAGTGCAGCAACACCCTGGAGGACGAGCTGGACCAAGCCCTGCCCAGCCAAGCCTTCATCTACCGCCCCGTCCGGCAGCGAGTGTACGCACTTCTGCTTGGGGACTGGAAAGGTGAGCGCCAGCTGGTCCCGTGTTCTGGGGTAGGAGGTCCTTCTGTATTTGTATTGCTTTTATTGGTTGAATAAAGAAACTGCCTTGGCCTTTTGATAGGGCAGGCTTAGATAGGTGGAATAGACAAAACAGAATGCTGGGAAGAAGGGCAGCTTGGCAAACACCATGATTCTCCTGCCTGAGAGGGACGCTGGTTAGACTCATGTCGGTAAGCCACAGTCAAATGGGGATTCAGATTATTAGAAATGGGTTGAATCAAGATGTGGGAGTTAGCCAATAAGAGGCTAGAGCTTATGGGCCAATCAGTATTTAATTAATACAATTTCTGTCTGATTATTTTGGAGTTAAGCTAGCCAGGTGGCCGGGAAGAATTCATTCTGTAGACCAGGCTGGCCTTGAACTCACAGAGATCCACCTGCCTCTGCTTCCTCAGTGCTGGGATTAAAGGCGTGCACCTCCATTGCCAGAACAAGTGCTTTTAACCACCAACCCATCTCTCCAGCCCACTCCTGGTCTTGAACTCAGTATTTGAAATCACTTTCAAAACTTACATTAGACTTTTCAAAAACAAAAGTTCTGCATGTTTGGCAAGTAATTATTGTAAACTTTCAGTTGGCTCAGGTTTTTCTGGTTTTATTGTTTTCTGCTTTTTAGCAAAGTGGTGTGAAAGAAATAGACCGTGTTAGACTTGAGGAACATAGCTGTTGGTGATGTCATCACTTTCATGAGGGCAGGGTGAAAGGAGACATTCATGAAGCAGATGGGCATGCAGGGGCTTTGCTGTCCTCCTGCACCACTGACCCCTTGTCTTTACTCAGATGGAGCCCGCAGCGGCCCGGTGGTCAAGGAGTGGTTTGTGTACCCTGGGAACTCCCTGAAGCACCCAGACCTTGTTCGGCCTCTGCAGGTGACTATTCAAGGTATGTACGGCACAGCTGGTATTTTCTGTGGGACACCAAGCAGCTCCCAAATAAAGACACAGAGACTTCTTATTAATTGTGAAAGCTTGGCCTTACCTTAGGCTTGTCCCACTAGCTCTTACAACTTAGTTTAATCTGTTTCTCTTTATCTGTGTTTTGCTTTGGAGGTTTTAACCTTTCTTTCATTCAGTATGTCCTGCTTTCCTGCTTCCTCCGTGCCTGGCTGGCTAACCCCTGGCCTGACTGGGCTGGCTGGCCCCTGCTGGCTGGCCCCCCGCTGGCTGGTCCTTGGCTGGCTAGCCCCCATTGGCTGGCCTCTGACTGACTGGCCAGCTCTGCCCACTAATCCTGCCTATTCCTCCTGTGTCTAGCTATTGGCCACTCAACTTTTTCTTTGACAGGTACCTTAGGCAGGCAAGGCAAAACAGCAACACATCTTTACATAGTACTTAAACAAATGCAGCATAAAACAAAAACAAAACACCTTTACACAACTAAGTAAATACAACATACACAAATGCATCCATGTTTAGATAGTTAGACAGATGTTCTATTCCACAACAGTGCAGCCTTCAGCTGTCCATCTTAGGGTGTCAGCTCAAGAAAGAACACACTCTGTGGATGTCTGTTTGCAGAATTACATGTTAACTGATACAGATTTCAGTTCCTATACCCCAAAGACTCCAGGGATAAAGAGCTCGTAATTGATAGGCTTTGGGGTAGGATGGGAGTATAGGTCCCCATTAAGGATCTTTCAGTCCACTTTGATTTTCTTTTCAGACCAGACTGTCCTGGAACTCACAGAGATCCACTTGCTTCTGCCTTCCGATAAAAGGGATAAAAGGCGTGTACCACCACCGCCCAGCTTGATTCTATTTTTTAGAGATTGTCAGTCTCTCACTGAACTTGGAACTCATTGATTTGGCTAGACTTACTGATCAGTGAGCCACAGAGCCTGCTGTGGTTCCACCTCCCCAGCCCTGGGATTGCAGACGCATGACATCACCCCTGGCTCTGCGTATCTGTGTGTGTGTGTGTGTGTGTGTGTGTGTGTGTGTGTGTGTGTGTGTGTTCTAGAGGACCAAAATCAGGTCCTCGTGCTTCTGTAGGTGTTTCACCTGCTTAGCCCTATCTCCAGCCACCTGATAGGCTTTTTGTGACTGGATCATGAAGGCCCTGACCTAATCAATGGCTCAATCCATTGATGGAGTCAAAATTTGATGGTATTATGGGGAACTTGTGGGCCTATTTAGGGTAGGTGGGGACCTGGGATGTGCCTTTGGAAGCGTTCTCACCTACAAAGCCTGTGATATAGTGAGGTCCTACAGTGAGGTCTTGTCCGCCATCTCCTCGGTGGTCATCAGGAAGGACTCACGGGGACTTTGTTGCAGCCCTGAGTGTCCTTTCCTTATCCCAGATTTTAGTTTTTTTCTTTAGCGGTAGCTTACATTGGTTCCTCACAGTACCCCACTCTTCAGTGAGCCTTCTCTGTTCTTTTCTCTGAAAACTACACTTTCGGGGATCGTTTCTGTAGTTCGCTAAAGGCCGTTCCCTCTTACAGTACATGTGGTGATGTCTGCTTGCTTGGCTAGTAGAAAAAAAAAGGAAATTAGATATTTCCAACAAAGTATGAGGAGGTAGAGGGTTGCAGGAAAAAAATAAAAAGAGATTCCTTTAAAATTTGTAAGGGGAGTTGGGTGTAGTGGCATATGCTATAACCTCAGCACGGGTCCAGGGGAGGAGGGGCCCAGATTCAAGCCAGCTTGGGCTGCACAGTGAGATATTGTCCCAAAAAGGAGTAAACAGGAGGTAGCTCAGAAAGGAGGGAGGGGAGAAAAAAGGAAGGGGAAGGAATTAAAAGTTAGTCAGCAAGGAAAAAGAAAAAGAAGTAAATATGTCCTCCACATTTATGTATTGAAACCGAGCAGGAATGTGGTGGTTTTAGACAGGTGGGGACCTTGGGGAAGTGGCTGATGATCAGGTGGGAGCTGTGCCCTTATAAAGGGACAGTGCAGAGCGTTCTCTTGCTCTTTCCCCCGTGAGGACACAGTGTCTGTGCACCAGAAAATGTGCCTTCCCTAGACACTGGTCTAAGGCTTCCAGACTCTTGAACAGTTTTGCTGCTATAGCCCAGTGTGTGGTGTTTTGTTATAGCAACTCAAGTGATCAGAGGCACTGGTCTGCTGTATTCAGAGAGCTCACTGATGGGCATATTTCCCGTATTCGTGTGTGTGTGTGTATGCACAGTATTCCACTTGGTTATGCATTGTGAAAGATGGTTTCTTGTAGCACAGGAAGGGATTTACTGTCATTTTCCGGCTCAAGGAGTGAATATATTCCTCCATGAGCTGCCATACTCTCCACTTTCCTCCCCTCTCATTTATGGTCTTGTATCCTGAGGGTTGAGTCTGAAATAACCATGCCTGTCTGCAGAACTAGACAGTCTTTAGGTGAAAATAGTGATTTCTTCTCAGTGTTGTTTTTGAGTCATTTTAAGTAAACCTTTATCTCAGAAGTCCAGGGAAGCTGACTGAGTACACTTGTTTTCTTGGTTGGTTCTATTGAATAACTGTCAAGTGTTGTTCAGCACATGAGAAAACAAGGACATCTGACCTACCATGGGCTCATAGCAGAGCATATCTGAAGACTCCCATGAAAAAGCTGTATTTGACTCTTTCTGATCCTGATCTCTTGTTTTAGCTCCTCCTGCCCTGACACAATATACCTAGGTCAGGAAGGATTTCTGTGTCCTGAATGTATGTGACCGTGTGAGAAGTAACCTGCCCCTGCAGCTTGTGGACCACCTTTAAAAACAGTTTGAAACCGTGAAGTGTCACAGGCATGTATTATAAGGTAGCGGTTGCCATTCACACGGCACCTCTTAGTAGCCATTATGACTGTTTTGAGTTCACCAGATAGAAGCAGGGTAGCAAGCAAACATGAAAGTGGATAGCTTAGCCACCTGTGGGTAGAATTCAGTGTTCTAGTGCAATCTACTTCATTTATATATGAAGATTTTTCTATTATGAGAAATAGCCAATTGAAATATATTCAGATGAAAGTCACTTGTATGTGAGCATTCAGGGGTTTTGTTTATTGTTTTTTCTTTATCTGTTAACTTCACGTTTCTTATCCTGAGCAGACACAAGCCAAACAGTTCTGTTTGCTGGAGGTTTTTATTTGTTTGTTTAACTTTAGTTACATTTCTCACTTTAGAAATCAATAAGGAGATTTTCATATGAAGAGCACACACAGGTGCCGGCTTCACACCTCCCATGTTCACCATCGCATCTTGTGCGTTCATTGGTGTTTATAGCTGTGAAAACACACGCTCATCATTGCTCGTACTTATCTGGGGAACCCCACTGTAGTCCCCCAGATGTATCTTGCAGGTTTCAGAAGCATCTGCCCCTGGCTTGGCTTCTGGGGCTCCATCCTTCCTAATGGATGTAGGGCTGTCTACCTGTGCACATAGACTTTTACCACATTTGTGATTAGGTTTTGAGCTGATGTTCTCTCGCAGAGGTCTGGAGATCAGAGTGTATGCTCTGGCCTCTGAATTCTGGCTGTAAACACCTCAGCTCCCATTTCTTGCACAGGAAATTTAGGAGTCTCAGAGTCTAGATGAGACTGTGTGTGCAGATGTGTGAATTGAGAGAGAATGATTATCTGAGAGTGTGTGTGCTTATGTGTGTCACGGTGTGAGTGAGTCTGAGTGCATGTGAATGAAAGTGTGTGTGTGTGTTTGTGTATGTGTGTGTGTGTGCGTGCATGTGTCTATGCATCTGTGATTGTGCCCGCATGTGCATGTCTGTGTACATGAGAGTGTATATAGTATATGTAGTTCTTTCTTATGCTAGCTGATATCCTGAACTGATCACGTTGTGTAGGCAGATACTGCTTGTGCATTTCCCAGCCACCCAGATCCGAATAATGTCACAAAAACTTTATTAATTACAACACTGAGCCTGTTAGCTCAGGCTTCTTATTAACTAACTCTAGCATCTTAAATTAACCCATTTCTACTAATCTGTGTATCACCACAAGGCTGTGGCTTACCAGTAAATGTTCATGGCGCCTACTTGACTCCACCTACTCTATCTCTGTTCAGATTTCCTACCTGGATTTACTCTGCTAAAATTGGCCAAAACAGCTTCTTTATTAACTGATGGTAATAAAGCATATAGCATACAGAGGGGAATCCCACATCAATGTTATAATTCTGTTAAACATACTTTTTGTTGGGGTTGGAGAGATTTCTCAGCGGTTAGAGCACTGGCTGCTCTTCCAGAGGTCCTGAGTTCAATTCCCAACACCCACTTGGCAGCTTACAATCTGATGTTCTCTTCTGATCTGCAAGCATACATGCAGACAAAGCACCTCTGTACATAAAAAATAATATATATGTCATTGTCTATATAAATATTATATAAATATTTCAATGACAATTTTTTAAATGTACTTTTTATAAAATACAGTTATTTAACTAAAAAAATCTCATTTTTGGGCATCCTCTGCAACCAATTAGTCATTTTTCTTAAATCTTACTGTTAAAAAGAATTAATTAATCTAGGTATCCTTCAAAACACACCCTACTCTACACTGGTAAAAATGATACTAGAAACCTATGGGAGAAGGAAGAGAAAAGTTCTGTAACAAAAGCCTTTGTGTAGATGCATCAGAGGTTACATATTCTGGAGTATTCGTTTATGATGCCTGGAGATAAAGCCTTGGTGTGCCATGTGTCATACAAGACGACAGCTCCAGAAGGCCACGGAGACGCTTTATCACCTACACTAGTGTGTGCCGTGTTTCATACAAGACCACAACTCCAGAAGGCCGCGGAGACACTTTATCACCTACATTGAGTGTGCATGGGCATTTGGTGTTTCCTGACTAAACAAGTTATTAATTGCATTTGGAAATGAAATTCTCTGACATTAGGGGATGGGACTTTTTCCTCCATTCCACCAAAATGCTAGAAGAAAAGACTGAGGGGA